GTACTCCAGATGTGGCCCCACCAGTGCTGAGAAGATGGGAATCACTTCCCTCCATCCTCTGGTAATGCTTCTAGTAATGCAGTTCAATATGCTGTTAGCCTTCTTTGCAACCAATGCATACTGTTGAATCATATTCAACTAATTGTCCACTATCACCCCCAGCTTCTTTTCTGCAGAGCTGATGCTTAGCCAGGCAGTCCCCAGACTGTACTGGTGCATGGGACTGTTTTAATTCTATTGTGCACTAGCACGTCATGAAAAAACGTATTAATCTTCTAATGCACAGTACACCGAGTCTAATGTGCATTAAGTGTCACAAAAAATGTTAATCTGTGCTAATGCACAGTAGTGCCAATTATGGCACATTTAGTACCTGTTATTACAGGAACTAAACTTAATGCACCATAATTACAGCATATTAATGAATGTGTAGACATGCCCACTGAAGCTCATGAGATTTTTCTCCAGTCCTCCAATTTGTCAAGGTCTCTCTGAATCCTAGCCTTGCTCTCCAGCGTATCTACTACTCCACGCAGCTTGCTGTCATCTGCAAAATTGCTGAAGGTGCACTGCATCCCATCTTCTAGGTCATTGATGAAGATGTTGAACAAACCAGCCTCAGGACCTACCCATACGGCACTCCACTTGATACCAGATGCCAACTACACATTGAGCCATTGATTACTACTCTTTGAGCCCAACAATCAGGCTAGTTTTGTATTCACCTTACAGTCCATGCATCCAACCTGTACTTCCTTAGCTGGTTACAAGAATGTTGTGGGAGACAATATCAAAAGCCTTGCTAAAGTCAAGGTATATCTCATCTGTCTGCTCTCCCTGTATCCACAGGTCATCTCAGTCATCTCATCATGGAAGGCAATCACGGTGGTCAGGCACAACCTGATAACAAATGTACACTGAATATTAGCTGCCTACCTATTTTCAGCAGCAGCCACAGCAGCCATAGTAATACATAACATTGGAAACCCAGAGTGTTCCTGAGATGGTTTCTTTCTCTCTGTCTCTCTGTCAGCCTCTCTGAGTGAACTGAACTCTATACCTTCCCCCATGCCCAGCACCCAGCCTCATCCACCCCTAAGATGAAGCAGCCTACCAGGGATAGATAACATAGCTAGTCCTATAGCTTAACTGGTAACAGTCTGTGCATCACGGTTGGTGACTCAGGGTTGAATCTTTCTAATGAAATGCATTGTGTGGCTTTGAAAACAGCACATGGTGTGATGACACTATATGACATAACACTACCTGGGTGTTGTTCTGTAACACAAACATGGTCTTATAACAGCACTGCATGAGCGGACATTATTTGAGTTGCTAAGGCAGAAGGTAGAAAAAGCTGAGTTTCTGTGTCTTCCCTGTACCCACGGATAGCAATGAAGTCTTGAATGACAAGGTTACACATTTTTCTTCTACAAGACTGCCGCCTTGTTCACTGTACATTAAAGTATGTGTGTATGTGTGTGTGTACATGCACATTGTATATTGACCATTTAAACTGCTGTTATGCTGTTTGTGAATTGAGATTGTTAAACACAGAGAAGCTTGGGGAAGGTTTAATTAATGCCAATGCTTGAGTCTCTTGCATGGAAGGTGCCTAGTAAATAGGTGCCTATGTATACTGCAGAATTTGTTACATCACCTTGTACTCCTGCATCTTCTTTTCCAACCAAAGGGATGGAGAACCAGACACAGGTCAGTGAATTCATCCTCACAGGTCTAACCAGTCTCCGAGGTCTGCAGCAGTTCCTCTTTGTAATCTTTCTGATGCTGTACCTGGTCAGCCTATTGGGGAACAGTGCCATTGTGACTGTGGTAATAGCTGAGCCTCGACTTCACACCCCCATGTACTTCTTCCTGGGAAACCTCTCCTGCTTGGACATCTTCTACTCCACAGTCACTGTGCCCAAGATGTTGTCTGGCTTCCTCTCACAGTACCAGGCCATCTCATTTCCTGGCTGCCTGACCCAGCTCCACTTCTTCCACTTCCTGGGCAGCAGCGAGGCCATGCTGCTGGCTGTCATGGCCTATGACCGCTATGTGGCCATCTGCAACCCTCTACGTTACACAGCGATCATGAACCAACGGACCTGCTTGTTGCTGGCATCAGCCACCTGGGCCACTGGTTTTCTGCATGCGCTGATGCACTCTGTCATGACCTCCAGGCTACACTTCTGTGGTCCCAACCATATCCATCACTTCTTCTGTGACATCAAGCCCTTGCTGAACTTGGCCTGCAGCAGGACACACCTCAACCTGAGACTGCTCAACATTGTCACAGGGGGAATTGTGATAGGCCCCTTCATCCTTACAGTCTTCTCCTACCTCTACATCATCTCCTTCCTATTTCTGAAGGTCCAGTCATGGGAAGGGAGGAGGAAAGCCTTCTCCACCTGTGCTTCCCACCTTACTGTGGTGGCTTTACTGTATGTACCAGTTATCTTTAACTATGTACCTCCTTCCACTCACTACTCCCCTGAATGGGACATGATAGCCACCCTCATGTACAGTGTTATTACCTCTGTCCTGAACCCTTTGATATATACCCTGAGGAATGAAGAGGTGAAATGTTCCTTGAGGAAAGCCTTAGGAACAAAGCTTTTCCTTGTAAGGATACCAATAAAGCGAGTTTTTTGTCTCTGAGACCAGGAAGGGGAAAGAACACAATATACTAAAGGGAGAGGGGATGTTGTTTAACAACAGATACATATATATGTTTGTTATTATATATATATATATATATATATATATATATGGAATAAGTATTTAGTCTGTCAATTTTTTTTTTTTTTTAATCTTCATGGAAAATTGTCAGTAAGGTCAACTAAAAAGCCCAAGTTGTGCTGTGCCCAGTGTTCCTAAAGCTATTTAATAATTTGAGTATACAGTTTCCATTAGAAATTAATAAGAGTTATGCAATTGTGTAATTATGTTTGGGAACCCCAGCCTGTATTCACAATTCAGTAACAACTTAGCCTCCAGCAATCAGCAGAATTCAACCATTTCAATACTTGGAACTTCCACGGAGACATAACCTATAACAGTTCCCTTCACCCCCCCGGACCCAATAAGCCACCATGTCATCTCTACAGAGATATTCCTTGCAAAGTATTCTGAGGATCAAATAACTTGGGTTGTTTTGTACCTGAATAGGAATAAGAGTTGAAACTTGTTCCACAGATAAAGACTTGTCACACAAGTTGTACCAGCACATCTCTCTAACCAGACGTTTTTCATGTTGAAAGGTTCCAAGTTACTTAAACCATGTCTTTCAAAGGCACCTAAAGTATTTTAGTCACTGGGTGTTTTGGGTACCTACATGGCACTGGACTTCTTTCAAAGGGCACAGTCCTGTCTGGATGTAGAGCTTGGAGGAAGCCAGAAGGCCATGTGGAGCACAAAGTTGTTTGACCTCTCACTCTTAACAGAGCTTAGATTCATAGATTCATAGATGTTAGGGTCGGAAGGGACCTCAATAGATCATCAAGTCCGACCCCCTGCATAGGCGGGAAAGAGGGCTGGGGCTAGATGACCCCAGCTAGATGCTTATCTAACCTCCTCTTGAAGACCCCCAGGGTAGGGGAGAGCACCACCTTCCTTGAGAGCCCGTTCCAGACCTTGGCCACTGGATTACACATTTTTCTTCTACAAGACTGCTGCCTTGTTCACTGTACATTAAAGTATGTGTGTATGTGTGTGTGTACATGCACATTGTATATTGACCATTTAAACTGCTGTTATGCTGTTTGTGAATTGGGATTGTTAAACACAGAGAAGCACCAACTTCCTTGGGAGCCCATTCCAGACCTTGGCCACTCTAACTGTGAAGAAGTTCTTCCTAATGTCCAATCTAAATCTGCTCTCTGCTAGCTTGTGGCCATTATTACTTGTAACCCCCGGGGGCGCCTTGGTGAATAAAAACTCACCAATTCCCTTCTGTGCCCCCGTGATGAACTTATAGGCAGCCACAAGGTTGCCTCTCAACCTTCTCTTGTGGAGGCTGAAAAGGTCCAGGTTCTCTAGTCTCTCCTCGTAGGGCTTGGTCTGCAAGCCCTTAACCATACGACTGGCCCTTCTCTGGACCCTCTCCAGGTTATCCACATCCCTCTTGAAGTGCGGCGCCCAGAATTGCACGCAGTACTCCAACTGAGGTCTGACCAGCGCCCGATAGAGGGGAAGTATCATTTCCTTGGATCTATTTGTCATGCATAAGCTGATGCACGATAAAGTGCCATTGGCTTTTCTGATGGCTTTCTCACACTGCCGACTCTTGTTCATTTTGGAGTCCACTAGGACTCCAAGATCCCTTTCCACTTCCGTGCCACCCAGCAGGTCATTCCCTAGG